ATTCATTACTTTTTCATCTTTGATTTTTCAGAGACACTGTTGATTCGCCGCGTTGACTGATCCGTATTACTATCAATATTGTATTAATCAAGTTATTAGGGTTTGTAAATATTCATTTCTGTGAAGGATTCATTCTCTGTTTGATCGTATAGGTTCTTCCACGGCGTTTCCATATCGAAGGTGAGCTTTTCACGTTATGTAATAAAACTAAAAGTATCCGTTATTTAGTATAGGATGATGATTGTTTATTTATATTTTTTAGCTTTTATTATTGTTATTTTTTGTTTAATTGGAGCTTATGAATGTGAAATTGTTTATCTATGAATTAGGGTTGGGTCTAGGGTTAGGGCGATGCGGATGGAAGCGTCCGGTACAAATTCGGACGCACACAGAGGTATTTCTTCATCGACTAGTAGCAATATTGGTATTAATTCTAGAAGACATGGAGGAGGAGTGCAATTATCTGCTTCGAATTTATTTCGTGCGCCATTATCAACATTATTGGAATATTCTGGAATTTTAAGGACAAGGTCAAATCATTCAGAATCCGATAGTTTGATAAACAGTGGGGTCCGCGATCATTTTCAGTCCCGTGTGGATGATGATAACGCTGGGGCATCATCACCAGCTTCTGCTGCTGGTGGTTCTGGTGAAGTTTCAATTAGGATTATTGGTGCGGGCGAGCAAGATCATGATAGAGTTGGGACTGTTGGTGTTGGACCAGTGAGGGAAGTGGATGGGCAAAATGAAGGTTTCGGGAGGCCAATTTCAAGGTCGGGGTCTGCAGCTTCAGTCGGAGCATTGGAGAGTCAACCGGGTGATAGAGGGGCGGGAGATGGTGTCAATGGAAGCGCAGATACGGGGGCTGCTGACGGTGCTGGTGTTAATAATAGGGAGTCTTCTTACCAAAGATATGATATACAGCAGGCTGCTAGGTGGATTGAGCAAATTATTCCGTTCTCTTTGCTTTTGTTGATTGTTTTCATCCGGCAGCATTTGCAAGGTATATTACTGTTTCCTCTCTATGGTAACTAAGTGATTTTCATAATAAACTGGCCGGCATACAGTTCTTGCTTGTATTTTCAATTGTATCGTGTATTTAGTGATGCTTCTTTGCGTTTTCTGTTATTTTGGGGCTAGTGTTTGGCAACATTTTCCTTGTCCTTTCTCTCTTCTGGTAGCTAATTCTTTTTTTTTTTTGGTTGGGGGTGGGTGGTGGGTGGGTTAGTGATGGTATCTATGCTCTGCCGTTTTCTGTTGAACGTTGTGATGGCTATCAATTTTCTTGTTTTGCGTGTTTGAGGGTTACTGTGCATTACTTTAATTTCCATAAGTTAGTATTTCTCAAGATTGCTCTTTGCTTGTGCATGAACCCGCAGGTTTCTTTGTTACAATTTTGATCGCTGCCGTCATGTTCAAGTCAAATGATATTGTAAAGAAGCAGACTGCACTTAAGGTGATGCAAATGTCCTCACAACACCAACCCTCTACAAGGGAAAAACAGAAAAAAAAAAGAAAAAAAGAAAAAGGAACTGATGTGCTTTTTAATCTGTCTTCCTGCCCTTTTCTGCTTGATACTTTTCTCATACTAATGAACATTGAAATTATTGATCTTCTTCTTCCTTCCAGGGCGAGAGGAAAATCTCTGTTTTGATCGGTGTATGTCTTCTGTTCAGCGGTTATGTAGTTGGCTTTTATTGGTGGTACCGAAATGATGATCTTTTGTATCCATTGTTGATGCTACCACCAAAGGCCATACCTCCTTTTTGGCATGCGATCTTCATAATCATGGTGAATGGTATGTTCTTGTGAAGTTGTCATAATTAGAATTTCTTGCTCAGCATTTGGACTCAATGTGTGAATAGTTTAATACGATATCATAGAGTTGACTTCTTTTACTTTGCTTTCCTTACAGATACTTTGGTTCGCCAGGCAGCAATGGTCTTCAAATGTTTTCTGCTGATGTATTACAAGAATAGCAGGGGCCGGAACTACCGCAAGCAGGTGACAGCAATGTAGATAGATTTACCCACCCTCTCATTTTCTTAATAGGCATTATCTCTTTCATGCTCAGTTCTATGTGCATGTGTATAAAAGGGAAAAAAGAAGCTTTCTGAGAAGTTATTTTCTTCACAGGGTCAATTGCTAACTTTGGTTGAGTATCTTGTACTGCTATATCGTGCTCTGCTTCCAGCGCCAGTTTGGTATCGTTTCTTTTTGAACAAGGAATACGGAAGCCTCTTTTCATCATTAATGACCGGGCTGTATCTAACTTTTAAGCTGACTTCTGTTGTCGAGAAGGTACCTTTTTTAAGTCGATCTTATTATCTTCCATTTATTCTTTGTCCTTCAGTATCTTAATCTTTCTGTCTTGATAAGACAATATCTTAATCTCTTTAATTTTAAGGGTCGGCATTGTCATTTCTATAACCTAACTAATTCTCATCTGATCCTACCTTCATATTCCTTAGGTCCAATCTTTCTTCACAGCTCTGAAGGCGCTGTCACGTAAGGAGATTCACTATGGAGTATATGCGACCCCTGAACAGGTAACATGGTTTCCTTTTTTTTAAAAAAACTTTTTGATAATATGTATCCTGAAGTTCTTTCTCAAAAAAAGAAGAAGTTATGTATCCTGAAGTTGCTGTAAGTTGGTTTCCTCTTCTTTTTTGATAAGTAAGATAGTTTTCCTCTTCCTTTGCTCATGACAAATAAGAATTACACAAGAGAGGCTCATAACGCAACATAGAACTCGATATTCCAAACTTTAGAATTCTATAGTTGCAAACATAGGACTTCCAGCATAGAAACTTATACCTGAGGCCTTATCAAACAAACAATAAAAAAAGAAAGATACATCACCTGAGGATTTTGTAAATTTTCGTGCCTCAGGGGAATTTCAGTTTAAATGTCTAACAATCCTATTCAAGTATTAATTTTTTCTGTGGCATAAGTTTCAGATTAGAACCTTCATCATATGAGTATGCTTGAGGATTGCGTTGCTGCTCTGTCTACTGGAACTATAGTTTTTACTTTGAGTAGAATGGGGGAAAAAATCTTCCTCTAGTATGGTGCTATTTTATTTAACATATTGGGTGTTGGAGAGCCTCTCTACCTTCCCAGGGTAGGGGTAAGGTCTGCGTATACACTACCCTCCTCAAATCCCACTTGTGGGATTTCACTGGGTTTTTTGTTGTTGTTGGTGTTGGAGAGGTTCCCCTCTGGTCTAGGATGTGGCAAAAGCAATTCATGCCTTGCTCTTCAGCATTTTTATTGGTGGCCATCTGCTTTATCCATCAATGTTTTGAGAAATCCCTTGAGGTTAGTGGTTGATGTTTCCCTTTGAAGAAAGAGTGGCGTCTTCTGTTTTATGGTGCCGACTGTGAGAGTTCCCTTGGAGGAGTGTGCTTGATATTTATCTTGAAGAGAGAGACTATCAATAAACAATTACTGTGTCCACATGAGGATGCCTGAATAGTTGAGGCAAAGAAGTAACAACCTGAAGATCTCAAGATCACATCTCAGGTACGACACTCAGTATGAGTCCATCAGCTCTAGCCCCTCGGCGGACAGGTTTAGCCAACACTTGTGCATATAAGCTGGCAAGGACACCAACATCATAAAAAGAAACCTTCACTTTCTTGACACTTAATCGGAGTCCCATGCTATCTGATGCAAAGGAGGAGATGAGCACAAAGAATCCTTAGCAAGAAAGGAAAAGAAAAAGAGAAGTTAGAAAACGGGAGGAAGAAGGGGGTGGAGTCCATATATAATTAGGCAGCTAACACTTGTCACAAAAAAATTGAAGATAAATAAATAAACAAACAAATAAAATAGATGACTAACTGAGCCCTCTATATCTAAGATCTAGTTAGTGAATAGCAGACGGACTTCAGGATTTGCTTAGCACCTCAAATAACTACTTCAGATATTAAATGCATTTGATAGCAAAACAAAAGTTTAATTTATTTATTTAATACCATATAAAATGACATTGACTAATCATTTGAACAAAAAGGACCAATACATAATCAGTAATATCATTTAAGATCCCAAATGAACTTTTCCATCCTTTTCAAATTGATTTCTTGATTGACTTTGGGGTTATAGAAGGATAGTTGAGAAGGTGAACTATTTTAGTACTTTGGGGGGAGGGGGGGGGGGGACGCATGTGTATATAGGATTAGCTTTTAGCTTCAACGATAAACATGGAGTAAAAATTATTGAGAAGAGTGTAAGAGAATCATAGATAACTTATACGAAGTATTATTTGTTTTGCCTAGACGGGCTTCTACTCTTCTCAGTACGATTTTTTCCCCATTTAATCTTTGAAACTAAAGTTTTCTTTCTGCAAAAGTGAATTTATTCAACACAGAGTAAAAAGGAAAAGTGGAAATTTAGGCTGGAATAGGCAAGTCTAACTCTTTAACTACTTAAATAATCATGAATTTTGGTACTATTATAGATATATTTTTAAAATGTTATTTGCCAACATTTGAGATATTATTTATTTTCGCTGTCATTTAAATGAGTACCAAAATGTTATCCATACGCTTTTCCATTTTTAGTTAAATTTCTAGCTTATCGATTGCCTCATGCAATTGGCATGTTATTGTACCATGGATTTCTATCTCTTTTTTTTGGATGACCATTGAGTCTAGGACAGCTTGTGCACCTCAACTATTCCGTCAGATACCTGGTACCTCCCACCAACATAAGTATAGGGTAACTCTTCCCACCCAGGCTTAGGTAGATGGGAAGATTTCCTAGTGTTTTTTTGTCTCCACTGGAATTTGGACCTGAGACCTCATGGTTCTCCTCCCACTTCCTTGGCCACTAAGCCACACCTTGGGTGCATTGATTTCTATCTGTTATATGAGGATGTCGTGTCTTTATATGCCACTTCTTATTCTCGCAGTGGTTTTCCTTTACGCCACCTGCTATTTATTGTTGTAATTCATGCTAATTTTGCATGAGGTAGTTGTTAAGCAAGATACCTTTTCACTGGGATCAACTTTTATGAATTCGTGTTCTGGATTTCACTTTCCTATAGCATGTTACATCAGCAGGTTTATCTTTCCCATATTTTGATTGGTCGTTTGTCTTCTTTCTCTTTCACCTACAAAACTCATGAAAGCATGTGCTTACCCCCCTCTGTATTGGGCTTGGGTGGGAAATTACATCCTTCTCTTTTTGTTATGTTTAAAAATAGTTTAATCATCAAATAACGTATCATAATGAAGTATATCACCATCTCTTGATGTTGGTGCCTTTGCAAGTTGGGTCGAATTCTGTGTAAACAATGGTTTGAAAGAGCTCTACAGAGGTCTTTAAGGTGTCAACTTAATTAAAAAAAAAGGAAAAAGAAAATACGCTCACAGGTGTTAAGAGTAGTTTTTGTATGGAAGCTATGTTGGGGAAAAATTCAAGTATTTGTTTTGAGTTGGGGAAAAGCTACCAGAGTTGTTATTAGCACCTGGACAGTGCTCTTTTGCATCTTCTTGATGCTTTTTATAATATCTCTTACTTCATCAAAAAAAAAAAAAAAAGATAGGACATCTCCCTTGATTGCATATTTTATAGGTCTGTCCACACAATCTGTCCTAGTTAAACATTACTCCTAACACTGACTAAACATATTATGTGATGAATCAAACCGACCCACACCCCGAACAACACCAACCCCATATTAAAAAGAAGAGAAGAACAAAGACTTGAAATTGGTAATAATACAACAGTGGNAAAAAAAAAAAAAAAAAGCTGCCAGAGTTGTAATGGTCTTTATAAGATGAGAAAACCATCCACTGTAAAATTTGGCTGTAGGATATTGATGAGTATTTGCAAGAAACTAACCAAACTGTTTGCTTTAAGTGTTTGCTGAAGCTCTAAGACGATGTGATCAATTGCAGGTCAATGCAGCGGGGGATCTCTGCGCTATTTGCCAGGAGAAAATGCATACACCAATCTTACTACGTTGTAAACACTTATTTTGCGAAGACTGTGTTTCTGAATGGTCAGTTTTCTGCCTTTTGCTTCAACCATTTGTGCTTTGACCCTCTTTGAGCATGGCTCATGCATGATGTATAACCTGTTATTAGAATGGAGTGATCTTCATTATCTCAATTGTCACCTGGTAGTTGTGAAGTAATGAGCACAAGGGGATTGCAAATAACACATGAACCATACACAAGGAATATTTGATATCCCTTTCTTCAGTTTCTTTGCGCTTATTCACCTTGAGTTGGTAACGCAATTTTCCACCCCTAGAGCTAGGATTTTTTCCTCTTTTCCTTACATCCAAGCAAAATGACTCCGATTCAGTTTATCAACTAAAGTATATTGATGTGATTTTTTTTCTTGATATGCTAAACGTTGTTCCCTGAAACCCCACCTCTCCCCCAAAACCCAGGAGTCCAATTGCGCTATCCCAGTTTGCTCCTTTTGTGACTTGAACCCTGAACCTTACAATTGGAGATGGAGGAGGGTCTTTACCAGAGGTTGTTCTGCCTGTTCTTCCTCATCAAAGTTAGTTTGACAGGAT